TAATTGGCCCGATAGACCCCAAAATGCAGTCGAGGAATATCACTCGTTACGAAATGGTCTACTAGCAGCTGTGATGCATGTTTCAGAGTTCAAAATTGAACCTCTAAGTTTGCCAATGCCACCGTTGATCCCCGCTTTCCCATGATGAAGATGAACCGGTTGTTGGGTGCACCGGGTTAGGCCTCCGGCAGGCTTGGGTCGGGGTTGTCATTGATTTCAGAACCGGGTAAACCCATCGGGCGTCCCGCGGGTCGGAGAACTATCATGAACACCCGCTCCGGGAGGTATTTTTACTATTTGTTGTGGGAATCCGGATAGGTTATGTTATCTTGGGAATGCCCTTTACATAGGAGCAGGGTTTAGCCGCTGACGAATAAAGGACCGGCAGTCCTTCCTCATTCCCCTGCCTGGGTAATTGGAACTTCAGGTACTTTCTAGGGAATACACCACCTCAGCGCTGAGAACAACCTGGGATGAGCCCCCAATGCGGCAGGACCCCAGATGTTTTTACACACCTGTTGCCCCACCATTAACACATCATACGCAATTCACGAGTTGTGGCAAGCTTGGAGAAGAAACGAGTGTGGAGTAGGGTAATAGCGTCTAAATTTATTATCAGTTGTTGGGTGTGAGAAGGCCTACATCCAAACTACCATTCAATCACTCTGTAACTTAGGTATTTATGCTCATAGTATTTCCTTCCTCACATCCCGCCCCCCATCCTACCCCGCACGGTAAGAACAGCCACCCTAAGTTCGCCCCTGAAAGCCCTCCCGGCAGCCCGAGTAGAAAACATACAGATACAGGGGTAGGGTCAAGTGTCGCTACAAGTTGCCCATCGCTATTCTGAATGGCAAGAATTGAAAGAATCTGTCTGGTAAAGCGAGTAACCAATGTAGCTAATTGGGCCCTGGTGAGGGAGTTCGGGGGTCGTGGGATTTGGGACGGCAAAGGATTTGGTTATGTGAGGCCCAAGGGCCAGACGCCCGGCGGACTGGGAACGAGGGGGAGTGCGCTGTTTCCGCCCTAGTTGGTCCTTCTCCATAATCACTCATAGTTAGTGATGGCAACACTCTAATGACAGCGCGCTCACAAGCGAACGGCGAGTAGTCGGTGCAGTGGAATTGCGCGGCGCACAGGAGAAAAGCACAGTTTGATGTTCGACGTGATGGAGGGATTTCGGATCACTCTGCTAGCTACCAAGGAGCTAGAAGCTAAAGTACAGGTAGATAGCACACTCAACACACAAGACAGGAAAACCCACACAACAGGGTAAAACCCCACAAACAACCGTCATGGCATCTATACCAGTCATGCCCTAGACTAACTATCACACCCAACCTAATCACTGTCAGATGGGATTCCATCTATCAGTTAGAAGCCCGAAGAAAGGGGCATAAAAGTAGTAGACTGTGACTGATAGATCTCTCATGGGGACGGCAATCTCAAGAGAGGCAAAAAAGGGGAAAACACGAAAGAAGAAAATTATGAGATGATCGCAACAGGCCAAAATGGTCAGCTCCATACAGGTTAACGATGCCTCCCACTTTGAATAGATAAATAAGTCGCCGGGGGGAACAGGTGCTTTCACGAGCGCGGCAAAGAACCTGACAGGATATCGGCGGACGTGCGGCAGAAATAGAGACACCCCAACGACTGACAAGGAAGTACCGAGCGTGGGCTGGGGGAAATAGGGAAGAGGAGGGAAGAAAAGAGAAGAAAATAGTTTAAAGTCCTATCTAGAGTCCCGAAAGCACCACCCCCAATCCCCAGGATTGAGCCAGGTGGGTGGCAGGCTCTAGTCGGCCTCTATTGTATACCACAACACCCAAGAGTATCCATAAGAAATACTAGACCCCTTGTAGGCCTTGTAGCGAGAAACGCAGGCGACGTCCGTCAGCACTCATGAAGTTCGTCGCGGTCCCATGCCGCAAGGCTAGGCAAGGTCAGGGAAGCAGTCGGCGGGAAGTTGTGGCGTTCGCGACAGGGACAAATGTCGGGTGTGGGACTGGAATAGGGGGTAACTGCGGGGTGGGGGCGGGAACAGATCAGATGGTGGACTGGTACCGGCAAGATGCTTGATCACGGCACCTCGATAGGGTAATGCACATAGAACCCCACCCCAGATCCTTGCCATCCCGGCTGTGGACCGGGTACATTTTCATTCGGATAAGGCACGCAGCAGAGAGGATTCGGAGGTTAACCGATATCTGCATACCGCAAACTTGCTGAGAAGGCCAGGAAGCCGGGTATGAATATCATGTAGCAGACGGTGGAATGCGATCGGAAGAGGTCAGGGTCGAATGCGAATGAGCAAAAGTAAAGAGAGGTGGGGGAGACAGGGAACCTGATAGAAACAGAAGTAACGGGGGTCAGGTGCGATATCGAGGGCCCAGTGCAATGAGGTTGGGACTGGAAAAGGTAGCTGTCTCACCAGCACGCTCAAGTGTATCGAAGTGACTCCAAACCTAGTAGTAGGTAGAAGCCGTCTTTAATATTATTGACAAGTGGTAATCCAGGTGAATGTAGGCAACAAGAAAAAAATTGAACATGCCGAAGACAACGCTTAGGAAAGCGGTTCCTCGTGGTCGCTGCCGCGTGTCGTTCATCGGCCCGAATATCCGGCCCCGTATTTGATGTTTTCATATCTTCAATGGGGCTTTGAGATAGGGAGATAGGGAAGGTGAGGTGGAGGATAGAAGGAAAATTCTCTGGGGGGGGGCGACTGGGTGCGGAACAGTTGAGTACTCGAGTATGGGTACAGGTACTCGTAGAGAGAGGATTGAAAAGGGAGTGTGAAAATTTTTCACGCACTTTTTCAGCTGCTCGACTGATTAAACTTTCTCATGGCCCATACTCGAGTACTCGTACTTGGCAATTTAACCAGTACCCGAACATCTTGGCGCTTTTTGGTCTTAACGTGTGCCAAGATTCCTGGACACTCGTTGAATTGCCGGGTGGTGCGTCAGCCACATTGTGCTACCAAATTCTCTCTGTGGACGGTGAAAGTATGCGTGTTGTGAGAGTGGACTTGAGTATCCCGCAACTGGTCGTATGGCGATCCCTATACAGGCACCAGCGTTGATATCGGTATAATACAGCTTCGCCAAAGCGTGCAGGCATTTTTTAGACATTCCTTTAATCCACTACAAGTAGACCACCAGCAGAGTACTAGTGCGTATCGTTAATCCTTCATATACAAGCACTACTACAACCTGAGTACCGGTAGTTGCTCGGCACTGGAAGAAAAACATATTTTAAGCAGTGCTGACTCCCCTTGAATTATTCTCCCTACTTCGTAGAATCGTGGCGGGGGCTCGACCATCACGGGAGTAAATTGGTTCATAGAAGCTTCTCTGCTTCTCTATTGAGAAAGGAATTTTGACCGGTGGCGCTGGGAAAGGGTATCCGCGGGAAGACTTGTAGCGGCAACCGAATCAGGTGCGGCGCTCGCCTGTGAGCAGCGAAATAATCTTCGCGCTGCAGGAAGAAGATTACACCTACCGTATCCGAATAGCACTTGCTGCAGAACCCGTGTAGGGAAAGAGATTTGACCGTTGCTAAAAATGTTGACATGGGGCTAACCCACCCGAGTACCGGTAGTAGTAATGGTACTCGAGAAATGGTTGGCTAGCAGTTTTGCCGACAGCGACTGGACATGCAACTACCGTTCATCTGTGTAAGCGCTAGCATTTAGGCGCCCCCGCTCACGGAGAACTTGAAAACCATTTCCCTCCAAAGAAACCGCCCCCTCCCGACTAATTGCAGTTTTCCACTATATCTTTGAATCCGCAGTCGAAAAGCATAGCTCAACGAATCTGAAGCTTGAAGGCCTACTCACATCAAGAGTAAATACCAGCTTTTTTTTGTCTTTCACATCTAATAAACAGCAAGTTATCATAGCCACACTTTTGCGTTTCCCCTCTTTTTAGCCCACAACAGTCCTGAGAATCCGAAATGGTAGAGCCCTTCTCCATCGCTGCCAGCGGCATAGCTCTCGTTCACCTCAGCGCGAAGGTTTTCGAACTTTGCTATAACTACCACGATACAGTGAAGGGGAGCCCAGAAGATATCAAGAAACTAGGGGACGAGATCAAAAGTATCCATCAACAGCTCGAGGAAATCAGAAGCCTTGCCGCCGGAGACGATGAAAACAACCCACAATACCTTAGCCTTCTCGAATGGGTAAAAAACGAAAGCTTACAGGATTACATGACCGCCCTGGAGGAGCTGCAGAAAAAGCTAGACGTTCCGGGATGGAAGAAGTCAGTCAGAAAATATGTTTGGCCTATTCGTAAACCCAAAATGGAGCATTACCTAGGCTTGGTCGAAGAGCAGAGATCGAAGCTTCATCTTTTATTAACCACGGCTGCAACGTAGGTTATCCATCCTTTAGACCCCTGAGAATCTAACCTCAGCACTTCTGTTTTGTTTTCGCGTTAGGGCTAAATAGTTGCACAGGAAGACGGTGACTAAGGTATTACGAAAGCTAGATGGTACTTGGCCGCATTATCCCTAATCTGCTTAATTATCTTCTCTACTAATATCGGATATTTTGAATACCCTAGACAAAGAATTCCGGGAGGTACTGAAATGGCTTAACGTCGTTGATCCAGCCTCCAATTTTTCATACACACTCGCTCTCCGTGAACCTGGCACGGGTAATTGGCTTCTTAAGGGACCTGAGTACAGAGATTGGAAGGGTGGTCGGGGGGGAGTCCTCTGGCTTTATGGAATACGTAAGTGTACAGATAAGTGAAATCTTATGTTCGCAGAATGTGACTAATATTTGCATCTTGTAGCTGGGTGTGGTAAAAGTGTCCTAAGGTGCGAACTCAGCAAGGTATCCAGAGGCGGGATATTATTTTCAGATTGCTAACTCTCGTTTTAGCGCTACCGCCATTGAAGATGTCAAAAATCTGTGTGCCATGAAAGACGATCATGCACTGGCCTACTTCTACTGTACCTTCACCGACTCGGAGAAGCAAAACTTTCTCAACATGCTTCTGTCCATCGTTGGCCAACTACTGGAAGGAATTTCGGGCCGTGGATTCCTCGATGAGGTTATAAATCTATACCACAATTCCAAGGCAATTGGAAAGTCAACAGATATCAAGGCGCTGAAATCTGCATTTTTGCAGATAGTAAAGCTTTCCAAAAAGACATTTGTCATTCTTGACGCTTTAGATGAATTTCCCAATGAAACACGGGAGAGTCTCCTATCCTGGATCCGCGAACTCACTGTTGATCACGATGCAGGATCGCTTTCCATTCTCCTCACCAGTCGTCCGGAAGCCGATATAGAGAAATCCCTTGAACCACTTACCACTTTTTCGATATCGTTACAATCCAACATTATCGATCCGGATATCCGGTCATATATACAGAACTCCCTGGGCGATAGGGATGGTCTCAAGGAATTTACCAACGAAATTAAGAGTGAGATAGAGGACACACTCGTTTGTCGTTCACAAGGAATGTATGTTATATCCAACCTCTACATCTTTAACTTACGCTGACACAAGGTTGAATATCTGAAGGTTCCGATGGGTGCATTGTCCTTTGCGGATTCTACAAAAATGCATAACACCAGCGGCTGTAAGAGCTGCGTTGCGGGCACTGCCGGAAGACTTGGATTCTGTCTACTTGAGGATCCTCAATAGTATTCACAAGACGCAGAGGGAATACATTCGGCGAGCGATGCATTGGCTTGCATTTTCGGCAAAACCATTGACATTAGGCCACCTTTCGGAGGCCATTGTGATCGCATACGATGTCAACAAATATGGCGAGGATTCGGAACCTCTTTTCAATCTGAAGTCCCTCATCAGCATTTGCCCAAGCCTTATTTCCTTTGAAGATACCAGGACTGGCAACTCCTCCACTCAGGAAGACCGCAAATTACGACTAGCTCATTTCTCGGTAAAAGAATATTTGATCTCCCAACGGGCTGCGCAGGGCCCCGGTGCCTACTATCATATTTCGGAAGAGAAAGCAAATTTACTGATGGGGCACGCTTGTCTCAGTCGAATACTGCGACATAGTGCACAAGGTACGATTAATGGGAACAAAGTCGAAAAAAAGTCGTTTCTCTACCACAGTGCTCGCTATTGGTTCGTGTATATCAGATCTATTGAGGATACAGAACCCACACCACTCTCCGACGCGGCGGTGAAGGTCCTCGACCTTGGCAAAGAGTTGTTAGATATATATAGCCCTGATGACCCTTACCCTGGTCGTACCTACGACCCCGGAATTTACCCACCGGCAATCTACTATTCCTCCTTGTTAAATTTAGTGACGGCCTGTAAATTCCTTGTCAATAGAAAAGTGGATACAGTAAATGTGAATACTCAGGGTAGCGAGTACGGGAACCCACCACAAGCAGCTTCATATCAGGGAAACGAATCGGTTGTGCAG